GGTTTTTCGTAAAGCATGGTAATATACAATTACTCGTTATAGAGTTTAATCATAAGTGAAGATAATGGAAATACCAAAATGTATAACAAAAAATAATTACCTAGCACTTACTGGTTTTCAGTTGTACTCTTATTGGTACCAATTCATGATAAAAGTTTTCTCTGTAATACCTTTGTTTAAGTCTGTTGTCTGTGTGAAATATTCACTTACGTACATTGTTTAAGCTTGTGGAGTTGAGTAAATAATCATCTTTAAGTCAACAAACTATTTGGTAAATCATCAATGTATTTAAATGACCGATATCAAGATCTATCGAATAAGTATCAGTTGTTGGCAAGTGTATGCCTTTTGATAAGTGCCCATACAGAACAGTGATATCACACCTATCTGTTTAATGATAAAAAGTCTTTACCAGTGGCAACTGAGTATATTATGTGTTATATCGAAGAAAAAATATAAATGAAATTATAAGCACAAGTCAATGATCTTACTTCAGTTATGAGATTAGAAATAGTAAATTCTTTATAACGATATAACTTTCCATTGAAGTCAAATTGTGAATTTTTCCAGATGACTATTTAAATTACTCATAATCAATATCTATACAATGTCCAAAATTGTTTAACTTGTTTAATGGAATCATTCTTTCCGAAAACAAACTCATTTTCTATGATAAACTGTTAAAAATAGGGATTTATATTCCTACTTAACGATTCAATTGAGTTAGACAAACAGTTAAGATAACTTAAAGAGACGCTTATATATATATATATATATATATATATATATATATATATATATATATATATATATATATATATATATATATATATATGTTATACAAAGCCATTCATTTGAATGTGAAGTATATAAGTTGACAAACTTTACAAGTGTTATTACCTAACACAGATCAATCACATGTTTACTAATACTAATTCAAAAATCATCATCGTTAATACACTTATAATCTTATTATATAAATTAGAATTATGAATATATCACTTGGAGGCTAAACTAGATGTTATATCTCTAGAAACTATTTCTCATTGTGTTTGTTAGTTACACAATATTTTTACTAAAAATTTCCTTTCATTTTGTATCCTTTCAAAATCTACCCAAAAACTTATTAAGGATTGATTATTCTGCATCAAATTATATGAAAGAAAAGTGATTATTGAAACGGTACATCAATTTTCCTCACCCTTTTTACGTCTATTTTCAATGGATAACTAAAAATCTGATTGGTCATATCATGTGATTGTCTACCCCAGAATCTTAGACATATTCTAATGATATCAAATTTATTCATGTCCTATGTGTGATTCTTAATATTTCGTTTGCTTGTTGTTATGTAAGTGTGTATACATGTATTTGTATGTTCTAGGTAAATGGGACTAAAATATAGAAGTAAATTCAAACGCCCGACATCACACTACCTTGTTTCTGAAATTTAATCAAAATTCTTTAAGCTTAGTGGTTTAAAGGATTTAATAAAACCTACTGGCTTAAAGAATTTACTTGATTTAAACACACATGACCTGAAACTCATTTTCTCCTCTTTTTGTTGTTGTTGAAAATTCAAGCTATTCTTTATAAAATTGGGATTTTTTTTAAAGATTTATTCGCTTGAGACGGAAAAATAGAGGGAAGAAAATAATACAGGGTGGTTGGATACGTATATTGAAGAATAGATATATATGACTAGTAAAATATTCACTATAGGATTCAGTACAGAGTAATATAGAAAGATACAGAACGAGGGAGCGAGCGTCAAACAGACACTTAAATTTTTAAACTCAACGACGAACGAGATTACTTATATGCAGATTAGATAGTTTCAATCCTCAGAATCTACTATCTGTTTAAATAGGCTTAGTAGTTGACATACATATCATTAAATTACCTGATTAACTTGTATTCTGATCACTAGTTCAATTAAGCCGACTTAAAACCCAAGGATTTATACAAGATCTATACGTCGCCAAAATCCAGTTAAAGCTTCAACCTTCTGAATTTTGACAGAAAATCACATAAGCTTTACATGAATTAAGCTCTTTTTGCGATCATCCATACATATATTCATTCTACATCTCTCTCTCTCTCTCACTCTAACAATTCCATTCATTGTGTCTGATCCTGGGCACCTGTTATCATTCTTTAATTTCTAAGAAGAAGAAGAAGAAAAGAACACAACAACAAAAACAACTTCAAATAATAACGGATTTCCTCTATTTATCCTTAATCATACTTAAACGAAACGAAGAATATAGAAAAAAAGTAATAATAACGATAACAAGAAAACAAAGAAGCCTAATTTGTTTAGGATTTACTTGTAAGTCTTTGAATAATCTCATTTGATTTCTAATTTATAACAATACATAATATGATGGTAATATTTTACTTTTACTAAACAAGTTTATAGTAAGCATTTTTTTTGTATTGTCTCACTAATTAAATCCATTTTAGTAGTATCTTTAAAAGTAAGCTCATGTCATTTGCATATATTTCTGGTTAGCGTTTTTTAGCGAGTTAGATTTCTATGGGAGGGGGTCGCTAACTCCATGCCCGACCCTCCTCCTTTATCCGGGCTTGGGACCGGCAGTAGCCTCCAGAGGGTCTCCAGGTGGAGTTATTGGTATATATATATATATATATATATATATATATATATATATATATATATATATATATATATATATATATATACTCGTGTCAATGACTGTTGTTAAAACATATTTCAGCAGGTGTTATTCAGACTGAGGAAAGGTTTCTGCCTAATTTCTACTTTGAACCAATCATCTGATAATCAGAAAATTTATTATTGTCATTATTATTATTAGTGGTAACTAAACTCCCTTATTACATTAGAAAATGTAAAATTCTTATTTCTCCTACTGTTATGATGGTTCGATTCTCTTGACAAAATATTTGAGGATGTCGAATTGATAAATATTTATTAATTTCAATAGTTAAGATCATGAGCTTCAACTGACTCATGATGTTAATCACTGAAATTACTATAATATCCACAAAGCCCATTTGATATTAAATATTCAATAGTTGAGTTCATGAGTCGATTTAAACTAGACTACCGTGGAAAACTTGAAGCACTGAACGGCCGTTTCGTCCCACGTGAAGGATCAAGATTGTTCCCTGATCACGAGTCCCATACTGGGACGAAAAGGCCGTTCAGTGCTTTCAAGTTTTCTAGGGTAATCTAGTTTAAATCGACTCATGGACTCAACTATTAAATTACTACAATTTCCACAAACCTTCATTTTGATATATATTTACCAAGTTACTTCTCAAGTCCTAACCTAGTAGAGTTTGACAAACAGAAACATTAATCATCTGAGTAAGTATACGTATAGACATTAATAAACTAAAGCCAACATTTAAAGATAAAACATATAACTAACTTGGTGTGATCAGAATATGGTTTTGTGAAGGTTATATAATCTTTATGGGTTTTGTATCGCAAATTGATCTTGGTTAGAGCATAATTGAAAACATCAAAGTACTGGATAGCCAATTCGTTCTAGTATGGGACTCCTCAGCAGTACACATCCATGACCCCACAATCAGAAACCAAACTCAGAACCTTCGATCTCTTGGCATCCAGATCATTGAAGCGGCAGCCAACGGTGTTGACGTAAATTGTTAATATGAGTTTTAGTTACTTGTCAATGGATCGATGAAGGTTTAAATAAAGAATGAAATATAATGAATCATTCCTTTCATAACGCAGTGTTAATAAAAGTATTGATCAGAAGTTTTCTAAATTCTAATCGTAAATACAGTAATAAGTACACTTGATAATAGTTTTAAATTTCAGTTCACTTATTCTCTAAGAGAAAAGAACAAGACAACGAATTTATGAGAGAGAAAAAAGAAGAACCAAAACCCATATTTAAAAGAAAACTAAGAAGAGAAAGAAAATTAGTAACAATATCTTTAATTATAATTTATTAATGACAGTGTATAAGGACAGTGTGACATTGTAGGGACAATTTCCATTGATCAAAAATGATTGATCAAAATTAAGTTGTATTCATTTAACATCAGATGTATAATTTATATTTGTATAGCAACTTCAGTGATGGATATTGTTCAGTAATTTATACTATTTATATGTAAAATGTTTCACTGATGGACACTAATATCCAGCTTAGAAATTTAAGTTCTAGTATTTATCAATGAATAGATTATATAATTTATGAACGTAAAATGAAGTTATATTTGGAATGGAAGATTTAAACAAGTTCACTTTCTTATTAGGAATAATTTTACAGCAAAGTATTAAAAATTAACATGTATATATAATTTTAATGGTTAAAGTTATGAGTTGATCTAAACTAGGCAACCATTGAAAGCCTGGGACTCCACAAAAGTGCACACCCATGATCCAGCATTCGAGAATCGAACCAAGGGCCTTCAGTCTCGCGTATGACCGCTTAACCTCTAGACCACTGAGCCGGCATCCAACGGTATTAATGGATTCATGAATTTAACTATTAAAATTACTACAATCTTTACAAATCCCCATTTTGATATATATGTAATATTGTATAGTGTATTTGATTATGATCTTAGCACAGTACCATAAGATCTTTTTTTTAAAAAGACTCTAGTCATTTAATCTAATAACAAATAAGAATAGTTTTCGTTTCATATTATCCTCAATTGAACGATCAATAAAAATGGGGAAACATTGAATACCTTTTAAATAGTAGTGTATGATTATTTAGTGTTGCATATGAAGAGATTTGAAGATTCTAGGTTTGATTCCATATGACGTTCTCATTATCAATGAAACAAGTGCTCTCTTTTTTACTTATCTTCTGTTGACGTGCATTTGCCAAGGAAATCATCATATGAAAGATAGTGAAAATAATCTTCATAAATCTTAAATTTTTTTCCTTTTTAAAAATGAAAATAAAGCATATTTCCTATGAATAATAAAATCTATTAAAATGTTTGTTTTCCAGTTATTAAAATCAATGTACATTCCATATACATCAGATCTTATTATATCAAATAGTATGTTACATTCAACAAATACTACTACTAATAATACTACTATTATGAATACTAATATTAATGATCAAACTACAACTGATTTATGTAAATTACATAAAAATGAAATAAACAATGATCATAATTTTGGAAATTATTCTAATTCAGATCAAATTTATCCCATAAATAAAACTTCATTTAAATATGATTTTGAAAAATTCGGCACATCTTACACAATGGATTTGAATACTCAGTTAACACCAATTAAATTAAACAATAATAATAATGACAGTATTAAAAAGTCATTACCACCCGACTTATTAATGAATTATCAAACTGAATTAGTGGAACGTAATCCGAAATCTTTTAATTTTAAAAAAGAAACCGTACATCAAAAAATAATCGATAATAATAATAATAACATACATAATAAACATGATCATTCTAATCATTTGTGTACTCTTAGTAACAATGTATTTACTTCTAATCATTTTATGAATTCTCTTACTAATATATCGATATCAACACCATCTTCTATGATACATTCAAATCATTCACATTATAATGGAATAAATTCTAATCATTTATCAAAATCAAAAAATCAATCATCCATTAAAAATTTTACGGAACATATCAAATCAAATTTTGAAATTTATGATTCAAATATAAATAATTCATTAATAAATAAAAAGTATAATTGTCGTTCACAATTAAATAAACGTCAACGACGTCAACGAACACATTTTACTAGTCAACAATTACAAGAATTAGAAGCAACATTTGCTAGAAATCGTTATCCTGATATGAATTTACGTGAAGAAATAGCTACATGGACAGAATTATCAGAAGGTCGTGTAAGAGTAAGTTATTTATTTGGTTAAAATAAATGAATATTTAATAAATTTCAATGATTAAGATCATGAGTCAGTTGAAGCTAGACTACCATGGAAAACCTGTTATGAGATAGTAACTCACTGAAGACAATGGTGGATGTGTCACTCAAATTCGTGGATTAGTTGAAGTTAGACATTAACACTGTTCGATGCCGGCTCAGTGGTCTAGTGGTTAAGTGTTTGTGTGCGAGACCGATAGGTCCTGGGTTCGAATCTCGCAGGGGGCGAGGTCGTGGATGCGCGCTGCTGAGGAGTCCAACATTAGGACGAAACGGCCGTCCAGTGCTTCCAGGTTTTCCATGGTGGTCAGCTTCAACTGACTCATGATCTTAACCATTGAAATTACTATAATATCCACAAAACCCATCTGATATGAATAGTTAATGAGTTCAAAATATTTGTGTATTTTATTTTTTCTGTCTAATTAAAGAGTCTGGTGTTAATGTCACTAGTTAAATGATAGTTGTCCAAGATTTAGTATGACAATTAAGTAGTTAGACGTAAACTGTAAGTAGGAGAAATTGAGGTTGATATATTTTATTACGTTAATAAACTGTGTACCATAGTACCTTAATCCATTCGTCATTTATCAGAAATCAGGCGTCTGGACACTTTAAAAATGGATTAAATAAGCGTTACCTATGAATTAAAACGTCGACCGTTTATTACTATAAAATGTCAGGTTTTTACATTAGAATCATCTGGTCTGATTTGATTACAATATACACATGCTTCCTAAATGCCTAAACCAACCGTCATGCAAATGAAGACATTAAGAATATTTAGAAAGCTACGTTTTCAAAATCTGACTAATGTGTACGAAGCTCATTCGTCTATATATAATTATTATTAATCTCTTCATTCAATATTATATTTTTGGGACAACATGTTACTCTCAGCACAAAGTATTTCAACAAGCTTCCCTTTCGTATTTCATGATAGATTCTGACGATAAATGTTGAGTGATTACCAATTAAATGTTAGCAGTTCAGTAATCAACATCTAAATAATGCTCATTCTTTTCAGTGCGTATTGCCAGCAACCACAATGTTTTTGATTGTACTTTTTTGTAACTTGTGCAGCGAAAGGTCGTAAACTTTTCATAAATTCATCTGATAGGTTATGTGATTAATGGACATAATGATGTGTTAAAACAAGCAAAAAAACAGATGACTTGTTGAAATATCTAGATGGCAGGAACAGGTAACCCAGATGTTCAAGCATGAAGCAGTCTATTTCTATATGAGGTTCTAACTAAATAAAAATGAACCATAAAAAGTTAGACATTAGCACCGTCGGGTGCCGGTCCAGTGGTCTAAAGTGATCATAGATGCATTATTTATTTACTTGAACACATAAATATTGATAAAAAGGGGCAACGAACATATATGCGCCACACAAGTCACTTGAGTTGTGTGTGAGCTGTGATACTGACTGCATGCCCAGACCGAAGCAGATGTTTTACTTAGGGGGTCACCCCCAAGCCTTCGACCGAAAAGTCTGACCCACAAGGCAATGGAGCAACGTCATGAGATGTAATCCCATATTAGCTGGTGACCAACAATTTATTCATATGCCATTTGTTCCTTCAAGATACTGCAGCCCATGTACACCACTGGTTTGGAACCAGAGTTTTCCAACTCCTCTAGGTAGACTCTCAGTATCTACCAACCCGGTTAGATCGCCGCACATCCGCTTTTCGTCCTCTCAATTTCGTAAACAAAACCCTCACCACGAGAAGGCAGTGGGCAGAACTTCCCTGGCAGTGGTGTATACGCGTCGCCATGTGAGAGCACTTAGAGGGAGAGCGGACTCTCCCAACTCTCAGCCGCACCAAGGCATTTAATAGCATTGTAGATGCACACTGTTGAAGAGTCTTATACTAGGAAGAGACGGTCGTCCAGTGCTTCCAGGTTTTCTATGGTGGTCTAGTTTTAATCAACTTATGAATTCGACTATTAAATTACTATACTCTCCACAAAACCCCCTTTATGATTTGGAAAATTGTCTCATTTTTTAAATTGTGTATTCGATCAAAATGAATGTGATATTTTGATAAATACCTGTCAATTTTTTAATATATCAATTTGCCTAAGGCTTGGTTGACCTTTGTCTTTCTTGACATTAATATCACTTCTCAAGTTGAGACAACACTCTTAAGCACATAGTTATAACTTAGTCGAATTATGGTACATTATTTGACACAGCCATAACACAGAGATACACTGAAAATGATATCAATTAAGAGGAAAAAAAGAAGCTAATTTACAGGATACTATGGATAAGACATACCTTAAAGACATTTCTCTCCAAGTTACTATATAGTTTCATTTATGATATATTAAATGGGTTATTTACGAGAAACCAATTATGTAATATTTCAACTAAATATGAAGTTAGACATTAATACCGTCGGATGCCCACTAAGTAGTCTAGAGATTAAACATTCATGCACGAAATCAAAGGTCATGAGCTCAAATCCGATGCAAGGGATTGTGGATGAACACTGTTGAGGAGTCCCATACTAAGATGAAAAGAGCCGTTCATTGCTTCCAGGTTTTCGATGATGGTCTAACATTGGTCGATTCATGATTTCAATCAAAACTCAACGATCTCCACAACCTTATAATGATAAATAATTTCAATTATATCCTATATATAATACATTAAATATTAAAACCATATAATTGTAAAATTTATTCCTTATAAACTCAAGTCAATCTTTCTTTTTCTTTCTCATAAATCTCAACTCCTAAATGATTCAGAAACAATGCCCCCCCTCCAACATTTACGATTAAATATTCATTTTAATATTTAAGTAAAAGCCCTAGTTATATGCATTTAAAAAAAATAAATAAACTAATAGGTTAAATGAACATCAATAATAGTAAATTGTCGGTAAGACGAAATCCATGTTATCTATACTATTTGAGGTATGTATTTATTACTCAATAAGAAGACAGTCATCAATTTCATAATATCCCTTTTAAATGTTCATTTATTTATAGCTTTCTGTAGTAAAATTACTCATAAAATTTGTGAAAAGTCAAATTAAAGTTTGTTGTCTTTTGTAATAAAAGTCTCTTCATTATTAAGATTGAAGAATTTTTTTTATGTAGAATAAAGTTTCCACGGGAAGAAAACTTATACACAGAATGGGGGGGGAAGAGAGAATGAGAGAGTTATGAGAATGTTCAGTATATAAATTATGCTAAAAGACAATACTAAAAAGCTATAAATGTCATATATCCTTTTGGAGATTATTCTTTCTATAATACGGATTCTTAGTAGTATATATGATGGAAAACAAATTAGAAATCAAATTATTTGATACCAATGAAAAAAATATCATAGACTCATATTATTCTGGAATAAAATGTAAACATAAATAGTTTTTTGAATAGAGCCACTAAAGTTTCATCATACCTACAAGAATAACTATACTGGTTATAGACACTTTGTAGCATGTTACGAATGTAAAGAAGTAAACAAAAATGACAATAAAATATTTCGTAATTTCAATTAATCAACTTCTTCAAAACGTTACAATTTTAATCACCTAAAAATAAGAAACTTGTTCTAAAATTTAATTAAAGTTACATGACATTGAAGTATTCCACTTGTGTTCAAAAGAATCCTACTAAATCTCTAAAACAAGAATAATATATTAAAATCAACGTGTTTGAATAACTTGACTAATTAATTATTTAAAAGTGGCTTATGACATGTTGATCAAACTCTATCGATCAAGTTTCAATATAATTACTAGACAAAGGGGTTAAGTATAACCGTTTGATTATAAGCGGTTAATGACAGTCACCAAGAGCTTCAAGATCTAGTTTCTATTCTGGTTAATACTTACCAACCCGATATATTAGTATTCTTCAGGGAGTTAATATTCTTCAAAAAATCTCAAATTAACCTTATACCAAATGGCATTTATTAACCGACTCGTTATTTATGCATTCAATACGATTGTAAGGTAATTTCCATAAATAGTTTTCTCAAGAAAATATTATTTTCCTGAAATGTTTCTCACTTAAATTACTTTGAAATTAGACAATTGATGACATACCCAGGAACTTATACGGAGCTCACTCAATAATTACGTTATGATGCTGAAGATTTCTTGAAATAATTGACAGCGGCAAATTATGAAATTCATGAATGTTTATCAGCTGGTTTTAAATAAATCTTAGTAATATATCAATAATGTATTTTGTAAGACTATGGTTTTGTATTGAACTGTGGCTACTGCTTTAAATATAAGCAAGTTACAATTACTCATGGTAATGGTTTAAAGCTCCCTTTCCAATATGAACATAGAACATTTTGGTATGTAAACATGATTTAAAGTCATTGAATAGATATGTGCAATTGAAGGGTAAATATCTCTGAAAGTTAGACATGAACCAATCAAATTAACCATCCGACTGTCAAATTTAATTTATAACCCTCCCACCATTATTACCTAATAATTTTTTTTATTAAAATCATGAATTGACCAATATTAGACCACCGTCGGAAACCTGGAAGCACTGAACGGCCATTTGATCCTAGTATGAGACTCCTCAACAGTGCACATCCATGAATCCGTGCGCGGAATTCCAGTCCACGATCATCGGTTTCGCGCATGATCTCTTAACCTCTAGGCCACTGAGCCAGCATCCAATGATGTTAATATCTAACTTCAAGCAATCCACGAAAATGCGCGACCATCAGATACCTGTCTCTATCTGACACAGATTAATTTCACTGTTCACTGTTTCTCACTAGAAGCTGAGGAGTCCCACACTAGGACGAAACAGCCATCCAATGCTTCCGGGTTTCCAATAGTGATCTAAAATCGATCTACTCGTGATCTGAATAAAAAATTTGACAATCTCAACGACTTAAAGAGTTGAGATCATGAGTCACTTGAAGCTAGAACACCATGGAAAATCTGGAAGCACTGCACAGCCGTTTCGTCCCATTGTGAGACTCCTCAGAAGTGCACATCGACGACCCCGCTTCGTGGGGTTCGAACCCAGGACCTATCAGTCTAGCTTCAATTAACTAATGATCTCAACTGTTTAAATTACTACGATCTCCACAAAACCCCTTCTGATATTAATCTCCACAACCCCATATTGATATTTAATAATTGTTAGAAATCACTACTGAGACCAGGTGAAATCAAGAATGAAATCATATTTAGTTCTTCCATGAATCAAGGTCATTTGATGTATGTAATCATGTTAATATTAGTCTATTATTGTTATTATCATTATTATTATTATTTAAAACACATCATTCACTGTTCTTTAAACAGGCAGCTCATTAATCAAAACAAATAAGAATACTAATCCTTAGAAATAAAAATAAGTCATGTCAAAATTATGACATAATTTCCTCCTATATATATATATAGGGTATAATCTTATTATTTGTAAGAACACATCAATTAGTCTGACACTATTATTATTATTATTATTATTATTATTATTATTATTATTATTATTATTATTACTGTTATAACATGAGTTTTCACAATCTGTTTATTTTTGACATCTTTCCATTTACCTATTAGATAAAAACTATATATATATATACCTAAAAAATTCCTTCTTTTTTAAAAAAAAATAACCCGAATTGTTTGTTGTTTTTCAAATTTCATGATAATATAGTTTGTATCATACAAGAAATAATTTTTATTGTTGTTGAGTAAATGGGGCAAATAAATGAAAACTTCTCTAGAGAATTAATAATCTACCTTCGACTTTTTTTCTTTTTGTTTTTCTCTTTTAAAAAAACAACAAAAACAAGAAAAGAACAATAAAATTAATTAAAGGAATAATTTGTCATTATTTTGAAATTGATCATTTCTGTTATTAAAAGTTAAGTAAATGTATTAATTTATGTGGATAAGATATAAATTTTCTTTTGGATTTCAATAGTTGAGATCATGAATCAATTGAATCTAGGCCACTATGGTAAACCTGGAAGCACTGGATGGCTGTTTCATCCTATTGTGGGACTCTTCAGCAGGGTGTATCCACGATCTTGCCTTGCGAGATACGAACCCAAGTTCTATCGTGGATGTGCACTACTGAGTAGTCCAAAAATAGGATGAAATAGCCATCTAGTGCTTCTAGGTTTTTCATGGTGGTCTAGATTCAGTTGACTCATGACCTTAACTATTGAACTTATAATATCCACAAAATCCCTTCTGATATGATACAACATATACTCACTAGTGATTGGCTTCAAGATGTATTTCCTGAAGTTCTAGTGAGAAGCAGTGATTAGCGGAGTTCAACCGGGTCTGTTGTGAGATAGTGCCCCACTGAAGACAACGATGGATATGTGACTTTATTTCGTGGGCTAGTTGAAGTTAGACATTAACACCGTTGGATGCCAGCTCAGTGGACTAGAGGTTAAGCGTTCGCGTGCGAAACCGATGGGTCCCAGGTTCGAATCTTGAGAGGCATGATTGTGGGCGCGCACTGCTGAGGAGTCCCACAATAAGGCAAAACGACCATCTAGTGCTTCCAGGTTCTTCATAGTGGTCTAGCTTTAACTGACTCATGATCTCAACTATTGAAATTACTATAATATCTACAAAAAACCCTTTTTTTTAAATTGTTAAATAATTTACATTATGAATAATAAAAAAACTACAAAACTACTGAAGAGTACATTGCACCTGTTTTTCGTTCTACCATGAAACTCTCCGACAATATCCATTCAAACGCCAGATTTTCAAGATTTACATCCTATTTTGTTTATAACTATTCCATTAAATTATCAGCGACTGGAATTTACTGTCCTATAACTAACAGCAATTTCTTCTTGGTTGTTCAATATTCAAACCAAATTTTGACATAAATTTACAGTCTCAAATGCTAACTATAGCAGATTCATAACTGACTTTCCATAGCTTTACAACCATTTCGATATTTATCAGTTTTTTAAAGGATATCTTTTTAAATTCATGAAACTATAAGCCACAAATGCTTTTTAATAAACCCAACTTTCAATCAATTTAAAAGTTAGATTTATCACCTCCATCAACTAGTTATCAATGGTTACTTCATTGATCTTGTAAATCCTTCTACGGGGACAAGAAACCGATTTTATGAAATCCTCTTACAACTCATAACTACAATATCACGTGTCACAATTTAAGTTTTCTGTTTGAAGTAACAAGGTAAATATGTATTAGATTTCATTTAGTTCTGATTATAAATGAGCTAATATGTTTCCAAATGGAGAAATATCAATTTTCCAATCTGAAAAGCTTTCGTAAAAATAAATTGTTATACTATTTTTTTAGCATATTCTTCATTGATACCTTCAATTAAATAATGTTTCTTGAATTTCAATCCCTTACTAAAGGTATGGTTTAAAAATCGTAGAGCGAAATGGCGAAAACGTGAAAGACATCTAGATGTTGTATTACGTGGAACTATAACTAATCCTTTTGTGCCATTAATTCGTTCTGGAGTTGGACATCCACCGAATGGATTCGTCAACCATCCAATATATGGAACAACTGGACATAGTTTTCCATCAGTACGACAAAATCAATTATCTAATACAATTTTAACATTTTCACAACCACAAGGATCTTATTTTCATAATTCTTCCACGAATAATTCGCGTAATCCTTATCCATTTGTATCTAACTTACCATGTGATAATGTATTACCAAGTTTGATAAATAGAACTAGCCCGAATTCTCTAAATCAACCTTTTGCTGATTTTCCAAATGATAATCGGAGTGATACAGATGAGTTTCATAGTTATCATGTTGGCTTGCCAGGTACATATCCGCTTAAATCTATCAGCAGTGGCAGTAATAATACTAATACTACTAATAATGTGTCAGTCTACTCTACACCATATTATATGTCACAGAATGAAACAAATTTACACATGGGATTACCGGTACGTTTACCTCATTCAACATGGATAACACATTTCAATAATACCGATAATAATAATAATAATAATAATAATAATAATAATAATAATAATAGTAATGACAATAATAATAATTTACAATCTACAGATTTCAGTGCAGCAGCTTTTGCAGCATCAAACATGTTGAATACCTATTCATCAGTAATTCATGGAATCAATTCAACAAATCTACTTGGTTTCAATACGAAAAAAGATTCTAATAATTATCCTTCTTTCGCTTCTTCATCAAGTTCATTTTTATCTAATGAAACAATCAATCATACAGTTAATCCGCTATTAAGTTATTCAAATCACTTACAAAATACAAGTTTACGACCATTGGATGCATCATTCACTACTGAAAATACCGTCACTAACAGTAGTTGTCTTGAATCGACGTTATTTTCATCAGGAACACTGTCATCGATAGGAACAACATCAGTGACAGGATTAACAAGTATGCCTAATTGGCCATCTATAAACAAGCCTATGAATTCAAATCAGTACATAGATGATTTTCCTTCAATAAAAATGAACACACGTATGGATGATGAAATCAAACTTCATTCAAAACAATTTTTATTTGATGATATAAATAGTTCATTGAAAACATTGAAAGATACCAAAGATTTTATGAAAACTTCATTTACAAGTGAAAATAAACATTCTTTGCAACAAGTAATCAATTCCGATCATAATACTACTAATATAAGTAATATACATGATTCAGAACTAACTGACAGTATACATTTCGATAATTTTATTCATCCTTTTATTGTAAAAAATGAAACTTATTTTAATACAAATGAAAGTACTGAACCTATAGATTGTATGAATACAAATCGTAATTTTTCATCATCACCTTCAACCACAATACCTTCGGTATTAAATTCACTATCTACAAAGAAATATGATTACTTACAATTAATGAATTCATCACAATCAAATGAATTATTTTTTGATAATACCAACCATCGTAAAGTAAATGGACAAAATTTCAAATTAGAAGAACCATTATCTATGAACAAATCATTGATTCAGTATCATCCATATCGTCAACATATGCGTCATACACAACCACAATCATTTCAAAACCAGATAAATGAACCTGTACTTATGATACCTGGTAGTACAAATAATTTTTCATTTCTACCGACTGCAGCTATGATGGCCGCAGCTGCTGCCGTAAAAATGAATACAAATGTATGTAATGCTACAAATTTTAACGAATCAAAATCATTAGTACATATTATGTCAAAGAATTCTATTCCAACTAATACAATGACTAATCCAACATTATCAGAACGATATACAAATTTAGGCAAATTCTCTACTATATCAGACACAATTTTAACAGACGCTTCAAGAACAACAATAGTATCATCATCTTCATCATCATCATCATCATCGAATATTATAAACGATAAACAAACTAACCATGGAAATTATCGAAATTCAATGTTGACGCATTATGTTCTACCACAAAGTATTCATGAAACAAATCAATTAAATGAAATTAATCCAATTTCAAGTTCAAATATTTATCAATTCTATAATTAATATTCGAAGAAAAATAACAAGATAGAAAATATTGAAACAATTGAGGGGAAAAACATCTAACTGATTTGAATATCTTCCAGCTACTATTAAAAAAACAACTAATTATTTCTTTCTGTACTATATCCTTATACATAATCTTTCTTTTATCATTGATGTAACTACTTCTATGAATTTTGGTTTTCATCTTGCTGTGCTAATAAGGTGCAACAACTTGGACAAATGCATATATGTGCCCGGTCTTATGTTGTAGCTGACTGACCGACTTTAAAAAATTTTTTTTACTTATCTTTTAAATAAGTCCACATAAATTTATGAAAACAACTGATTAATATTTGGCTATCTTAAACATAAAAAATGTAATGTATTCACATTTCAATAAACGAAAGTCACCACATAGATACTTTTATCATTGTAATATGTCCATTTTATGTTCATGTTGTATGTATAATGTGGTCTTGATCAGGCATCAAATGATTGACAATTACGTATACAAATATATATATATATATATATATATATATATATATATATATATATATATATTGTGGCTATTGATTATTAACCATTTACATATTCAAATGTTCAACATTCCATTTTATTGAAACAAGACGTTTTCTAATTATCTTTAATTATATTACACAGATTGTATTTATAATAGTAATAATATAAATAATTTATTGAATAAATAATTTACAGGAGGAATTTACGATAAATATGATTTTTAATAGATGAATTCGTGAGTCTATGTAGTAAGCTAGATTACCATGGAAAGCCGGGAAGTACTGAACAGTTGTCTCGCTCTAGTATGAGAACACTCAGCAGTGTGCATCCATGATCCAGCACGCGGGATCCGAACCCAGAACCCTCAGTCTTGCACTCAAACACTTAACCTTTAGATCACTGAGTCGGCATAGAACGGTGTTAATATCTAACTTCTATCGATCCATGAATGACTGCTTAACCATTCATCCATTATCTGAGGTAGATACCGACACGGACCGGACTACACTGGTCACGGCTTGTCACTAGAACTCCATGAAATTATCTTGGAGCCAGTCACTATTAAGCATTAACACTACTGAGTGCCGGCTCAGTGGTCTAGGAGTTAAGCGTTTGTACGCGTGACCGAAGACCCTGGGTTTGAATCCCGTGTGCAGAATCGTGAGGGGGGGGCACTACTTACGAGTCCCATACTAGGATGAAACGACCATTCAGTGCTTCCAGATTTTCAATGGGGAGCTAGCTTGCATCGACTCATAAATTCATCTATTAAAATTACTATAACCTCCACAAAACCCCATTCTGAAAATATGATTTCTTTGGAGAACTGGTATCAATTGGAAAGCCGTAAAAAGATAACTTTGCAATAGAGAACATTTTGTTTATTCAGCAACTAATTTCCACGAATATTTACAAATATTTAAAATTTCTATATTCTGCGTTAGAATAACACATACAAACAAGGAATACCGTTTTCAATTAAATTTCCATTAGGTTCTGTCCTAATATACAGTAATATAAATATGCATATATCAAAATACCAAATCAACGAAGACGATTTATTAGTCAGTAATCACAACAAAATAGACTACAAAAATAAACATCATAAGTAAAAAGTATGAACTGATAGTGTGATGATAGATGTACTAGTTGTGATAAGAAAAATGAAGGCTTGAGTCAAGGTTTCGTAATAGGAGGTAGGTCAATGACTCGGGAAAATAGACACCGAAGTAACATTCATTGAAACCCATTAAAATTACGTAATAAGATGTGTTCTAGTAATCAGACAGTGAAGAAAATAAACGAAAAAGGGATGAAGAAACATACACAAACAAGGATATGGAAAATAGTAACAATAAGTAGCATCATTTGCTCTAAGTGACGGATCGGAATCAAAACTTTCTAATGCAAATAGAAACTAAGGTTTTTAGCTCAAGTTCCTTTAAATTTTATTGTGTGTTGAAAATGAGGTAGAACTCAACAAGGAAAACCAGAAGGTATACGACAAATTACTCAAAATGACTTGGTTCTATTTACTACATCGACGCTACCTACCAAGTATGACAAAACGAAGTTGCTTATTTTCTTTAAATACCATTTCCCAACTACAAAAGGGTGGCGCCTAGTAGCTCATTGGCTTTGTTGTCTGGCTGTACACTCAATACAGCCTTTCTATAGGAGCAGTTGAATTAGTAGAAAAACACGAATCTGGATAAACTCAGATTATTCTTAAATGATGAAATCGCGACTGACATTAAAACGACTAAGGCCTTTTTTCCTTGCCCCTAAAGATGAACGTCATGGGTATGAGCACAAATATTAAGAAAATAGTGATTGGCTTAGGAGATGTAGGATGCATAGAAATAAATTACCGTTAGTTGTAACTAAGTTTCAACTTGAATCCAAAATGGTGATGGCGTGGTTACCAGAACTCATTCTTGATGAAAAGGTATTCACTGAACAAATTGTTGGCTCTTATATTCATCTTGAAACAGTAATAACCGATCATACTATGTTTGAAATTACGAAGATTATTGGGCTACAGGTTTGAACAGTGGAAACCGGGAAGGGGTGAAGAATTACAAACTAATCCAGGAGCGACTATGAGATACAAGTGTAAAATAAAGTTGTTTTAATGTTACTCAGTGCCATGAAACTGAAATACTTTATTATTCAACGTTGTAAGTTCACGGATATTAAGAACACAATTAAACATGAAACTAACTTATAATCAAAGATGGATAGTGGTATGCATACTCCTACTTTCTCAAACCACATTCGATCTACATGGAGCCATAAATGTGAGCTCTGTGTCAGACATGTTAGTAATCATTATCTCACGATTCGATCAGAATCGAGGCAAATATATCCAAAAAGCCGTTACCATGATAATAATTAATAATCCGTAAATTACCGAGGTGGATTTCAGCTATGTTGAACCCAGATTAATTACCCAAGAATGGTATCAGATGACTGTCAATATATATCATGAACTAAATGAAACGGGAAATCTAAACCGTAGGATACTGACTCGAAGATATCGTTCTTACAGAGAAACCTTAAGGTCACGTATTTTATCTAAGGAGTCCCGAACTAAGATGAAATAATTACAGTGTCCCTTGGTTTTTATTGGATTCCAGCCGATCTAAGAAGTTAAGGAAGAATAACTTCAAAATGAATTTCACTTAGATATTGTGTCACATATACAAGTGTTTGCATAATGTTTTCTGTTTGATTCCAAAAGTTGCTTGGTGATTTGACAGGCATTACCTTATTATAAAATAGCTGACAACGCAAGGAAAGGAAGTTGACTGAGAACTTTAAGAAAACAAATCACTAAAACTAGTTATTATTTGAAAGGTTGTTCTAAATGTATGAATTGTTTGACGATTTGTGAATTAGGTCAAAATGATTTAAAAAAACTATTTGAGCTGAGAAACCTAACGGAGAATATTTACGCTGCTAATAAGCATCTTGAAAAATCACTATAAAATAAATATCATCATATTGATGAAAACTTACAAAACGAACTTTAAATTTATGGCTAACGTAAATTGGCGGTCAAATTCTTCATCCTTTTTTAGAAATCAATCATGCTGTGATGGATTAAGAAGTGTTGTATTGCAGTTGTATTCATTTCCAAAATGAAAGACATATAAGTTCATATTAAGTACGTGTATACGTTCATGAAACTATTATTACATTCATATTGTGAAGATAAATTGAATGACTTACAGTCACATTGAATGATTGTTGTTTTGAATGAAACTCTCAGTAAACTTAGAAGTTTTAGATAATAGTTTTTAGAATGAGTTTTTTGAAAATCAATTTAATTTATAAGTAGTATTTACCACATAATGAGCTTATTTAATGTAGCAGTGAGAACTAGGGAAGACTGAACAACTGTATCTTCTTCAAAAGCCAGATCATGAAACTGAACTACTAAAGAGACTAATATTAGAATGAGAATGGCAAGCTAAAAAAGATCAATCTATAACGAATCCCTCTTGTAAATGATACTTTGAAATTACTATGGACAAAATCCATTGATTCACACTTGGAAACCTTGGCAATTTATAATTAAAGAGCAGTCATTTCCAAAATACTTAACTGGATAAATTTGTCATCTAAAACTGAATTGCTAGTGGAGACATAATTATTATTCATTTAATTGATTACGTGAATATTTTTGTACCGTTTCACGGTAATTTTTTATCATCTGATATCAGTTTGTGACAGAATAAAATTATCTTCTAGATGGTTGTTGGAGGTAGTCAACAGGAAACCCTGAACCCGGGTTTCGTGCTATTTGGCACTTGTAATCTTGAGGGAACTGGTGCTCCCTGGTGGATTCGATCTCGTGTCACCCAGCTTCACAGTCAGAGACGTTACCACTGATTACATCTCAGTACTACTGGAGGTTAATCACGGCTCGGATAGCTCAGTGGTAACGTCTCTGACTGTAAAGCTGGGTGACACGAGATCGAATCCGCCAGGGAGCACCAGTTCCCTTAAGATTACAAGTGCCAAATAGCACGAAACCCGGGTCCAGGGTTTCCTGTTGACTACCTCCAACCACCATCTAAATCTCAATACATAGTGCCCGCAGTGTCGAGTCACCTAGACTGGTGACCACATTGCAACATGATCGATAGCATTCGATCTGCACTAATAAGGACTAGACAAGCATGACATCAATCAATTATGAAAATTATCTTCAAAATATACATATAAATATTTACTGAACCACTGTACTTCAAATCTACATTACATATTCATTGAAACAAAATTATTCAACATAGCTATTACTTCACGGTATTTTTTTTCTTCTTAAAACCAATATATTAGACCGTTTCAACACAATTGAACTTCCTCTAATTCACCGACTATGAAAGATGTGTTAGAAAATCTAGTGTCAAAGGTTGGGTGGGAAGGTGATTAATAAGTTTTCATATTGACTTATCTTTTTTCTTTTTACTATACCCCGCAGTGATGTCTTC